CTCCATTCCTCAGGTGAGGCGGTGGAGGCTACCTTTTGGGCAGACGGGCTCAGACGCTGCAGGAAGGGTTCCCAAAGTCTGCAGAGGCCGCGTGCCTCTGGTTTCCGCCTCTCCTGGGTTTCTGGTAAAGCCAGGGGAGTGACCTGGGCCCAGAAGACAAGCCCTCCTGCAGGTGACTTGTGTGGAGGCACACTTCCAGCCAGGAGGCCAGGGCCCTCCACAGTGCAGCTTGTGCTCAGTGGGAGTCAGCGCCCTCCTCATTATGTCAGGGGCGCTGAGCAGGTGAGTCGGGTCGAGCACTCTCAAGTCGGTAGTGAGACCAGGGAATGGACTAGGAATCTATTCAGTTCTAACTGGAGCAGTCTCAGCCTCTCACATCATTCCTTCTCCAGTCAATCTTCTGGGCGGAACCCCATGTGCACCTTCCAACGTGGGAGAATAGAGTGACGCTGACACTTTAAGTAGTCAAAATATACTTCCCGTTTGTTGAATTGTGGCCACACAATTATCCTTACTGTTTACCCCTCTAAACATCCTTGATCCCAAAAACACAGGACTCTACAGTACTGCAAACTATGTCATGTTCAAAACGGGAAGAATACAAACCCCAGGGCCGTGTCTCTCTGGACTCAGTGGCTGTTGTGGATACTGCAGCGGCTGAGGGCCTTTTAGTATGTGAGGCAGATTCGGGTAGGTGGTAGATGGAAGCGTCAAGGTGAAGCTAACGGCCCCTTGCTCTCCTGCTTTAAAGCACAGTGCGCTGTCTGCTCGTCTTCAGCGGAGCTGTGGGAAGGCACAGCTGGAAACAGGCTTATGTTCACGTTTCACACGCGCTCAATTTCCACAGAACTCAGGTTCGTCATCTCTGACGCAGGGACAGAAACTATGGCTCTGGGCTCCCTGTGGGAAGATTTACTTAGCACAGGGTTGAAATATGGTAAAGGGTGAGTAAACCTAATCTAAACATGTGAAATGCTCCGTAATTACTACTCGTAAGTAGTTTCAGATTTTAGAGCATTTCAGATTTCAGATTTTTGGATTTCTTGAGTTCATTGAGTAAATGTCCTCAAATCTGTAAAACCTCTGAAATTTAGAACCTTTCTGCTCCCAAGTATTCCAACCTGAAGATAAACAACACTCTTCCCACCTGCAAGTCAGCAAATACTTAACAAGCATCTGTTACATATTCCCATACATCCTGGGCTACCGTGTTGCAAGCTACCTAATCCTGGGCTGTGGTTCACATCAGAGTCATTGGAGATACGCGTGTTTTTTAGGACAGTTTTTGTTTTGCTTTGTTTTTTCTCAGAGAAAATAAAATGTTTCGAGGAAGGTTCCCTTTTTAAAGATTCACAAAAAGGTATCATTTAGGCTAACAAAGGCTGGGTCCATGGCCATGACAAAAATTACAAGAGGTTAAGAAAAAGCAACACAAAAACTCAAACACATGTCAGTGGTGGGCAGTTGTGTAGAGTCTTGAAAAAGCAGGTGTTTTTGAAGTCGAGGAAGGTGGATCAAATATTCCTCACCCAATGATGAGCTACTCAATCTGAGCCACAGTAGTGGCTTTAAAGTATCCACAAGTTCTTAGATGTATCTCCCTTTAAAATACGGGGTCTCAAAATATGTTTGCCAGCTGTTCCTCCGACAAGGAATTACTATGGAGAACATATAAAGAACTATTAAAAATAAAATAAAATAAAATAAAAGTTATGTGAATGTAGCCCCTCCCTCCTTAAAAAAAAAAAAAAAAAAAAAAAAAAAGAAACCTCCTAAATTTAAAGACCCAATCCATAAATGGGCATCTGAGATAAATGCACACTTGTCAGATAAAGAAATACAAATGGCAAATACATGAAGAAATGTTCAACATCATTGGTCATTCAAGAAATGCAAATTAAAATAACACTGAGATTCCATCTCACCCCACAAAGAATGGCTCTCATCAAGAAATCTACCAATGACAAATGCTGGCAGGGCTGTGGGAAAAAGGAACACCTCCGCTGTTGGTGGGAGTGTAGACTGGCACAACCACTGTGGAAATCACTGTGGAAAAGCCTTAAAAAACTAGGATTGGAGGCCCCATTCAACTCAGCTATTCCCTTTCTGTGTATTTTTCCAGAAGAATTAAAAACATCATAGCACAATGATATATGTGCACCCATGTTTATAGCAGCACAATTTGTAATAGCTAGGTCTTGGAAACAATCCAAACGCCCATCAACCAAGGAATGGATAAAAAAGATGTGGTCCTTTTACACAATGGAGTACTACTCAACCATAAAGAATGATAAACTGGAGACTTTTATAGATACATGGATGCAACTAAAGACCATACTCATAAGTGAAATAAACCAGACCCACACATGTAAACATCATATTGTCTCCTTAGTGTGGGAAGCTGGAAGAGTAAGTAAGATCCAAAATGTACAACAGATATTGTAAAATGGGAAGAAACTTCAAAAGGAAAGGGAAACTGGGATGGGGGAATAGAGAAAAGAAGAGAAAATATATATATATGAGATAGTTAAGATAGTTATACTACTACTTTCTCTTAGTTCATTGAAAAGAAAGGTTTGGGCTAATATTGTTTGGCCAACTAAATGCTGATATCTTGTATTCTGAGTAATATAAAACAATATACAATGCATTAAACATCGTTACCCTCCTAATATCTTGTTTTGAAATTTTGTTCTTTAAAACAATTTTTAAAAAATAAAATATGGGTTCTCCCTAACCCCGCCTGTGTGTAAATTCCAGTTAGCAGCCCCTTTCTAACGGGCTGAGTGTGACAGAGGTGCGCGACTCGGGGCCCTGGACTGAAAAGGCACTGCGGCTTCCTCCCTGGCTTGCTCCCTCTGGGAGAAGCCTGATGCCAGGTCCAGAGGCCTCTTAGGCAGCCCCTCCAGAGAGGCACACGTGAGAAACTAAGCTGCCTGGACACTGTCCTCTGCCTGGCGAGTCTATGTGTACCATCTTGGTGGTAACCTCACGGGATACTGCAGTGAGAACCATTCAGCCAGCCCCTCCAGGGTTCCTGACCCACAGACACCAGATAATCAATGTCTACTGTTTTAAATTGCTAAGTTTTGGGGGAAATCTGACAGGGCAAATCAATCATAAATGCAGGATAAAACCTTCCTGATGGAAACGTCCCTTTGGTTGGAGCCCAGCTAGGCGGCAGGTCTGAGAGGGAATGCCCACACCCTCTGTTCTGTAAAGTTAGGATTTACCCTATCAGCAGCAAGCTACTCAAGTCAGAGGATCTATTTTACACGGAAGAGTGATATGCTCAGGATTGTGTTATCTGTGGCCTGAAGGGGACTGGATGAAAGGAGCGTGGGGACTTCCACTTTGTTTTCGAAACAGAAGTCCAGGTAAGAGGCAGTGAGAGCCTGAACTAAGGCGATGAAGCGGGTGAGTATGGGAGAACTCTCTTAAGATTTGGTAGTTTGCAGAAAGAGATAGCTAGTTTTCAAAGCAATCTAGTACAACCATAGTTCTCTCTGGATTGTGAGAAAAAATGTGAAGTATACAACAATGCTATATCCACACAACCACTACTATCTTGCACACATGTGTGTACACACACTTCCATGGGGTAGAAGGAGTAGTCTGCAAAGACTAATTCACAATTAAGAAATGTGTCCTATTAGATTTGATATTAAAGATTTGAATAGTCCTTTGTAGAAACTTTAGTTCATAACTCCCCCCAATAAGCTTTCACTTTCCATAGGAACTACAAGCCTCACATTTCTCTGTGGTACAAATAAAGCCACAGGGGATTCAACAGAACTAAAGCAGGATGATTTACAATCCTGTCTTAATACAGGTAACACATAATATTGCAATACTGTAAGATTCAAACAGTCTATGACTAAAATAGCACAAGGTGTGATATTAAATTAGCTTAGAAGTGTTCATTCCCCCCCAAAATGATTTCCTTAGGAATACAACATCTACTTTTAGCATTTCAACAGCTCCAGAAAGAGACAGCCATTGTAAATGCCAAGTCATGTATGTTTTAAAGGCCATCCTTCTACATAAATGGCGAGGGAAGAACATTTTTATTCTTTGGTTACTGATGTCTAGAGTTTAGACAACTTACATTCATTGCATTATGTTCAGTGCACTACATCATCACCATGCATGGCTGCATTCTAAAATGGTTTTTTTTGTGTGTGTGAAACTGGTGTTCTAGTTTGACTGAACATTAAGGGAGACCCAGCAAGAATTTAAAATCAGTAGAAAAAGTCAAAGACCCAAATTTCTTTTCAGAAGAAAAATGTTTTATCACCAGTAGTTTGGGAATCATTATCATTTTTAAAAATTACATTTAAATGATGATTTCCTTTCCATTTACATCTTATATGGAACTGTAGATGAGATGTTCAAATAATTCAATAAATACTCACTGAATACTCAGCATCCAAATAAGATAGGACACACCCACCAAGAAGAGTGGCGTTTCTCTCAGAACAAATGTGGAAGTCTCAGTCCTTGAGGCAGGGACTACGTTGTTCACCACAGCGGCCCAACGCTAACCCAGACACCTGACAAAGGTAGTCATTCACCAGCGACGTGGTGAAGGAGGAATGCACGAGCGGACAGACACCCGGACACACGTGCTGGTCCTGATGCTGGGCTTGTACAAACGCAGAGGGCTAGCCATTCAAAGACGTGCCTCCCTGGCTAGAACTCATAAATATGTACAACTCAAGTGTCTTGTGGAAGGTGTGAAAAATCCTGATGTTTAATGGAAGACAAAAAAAAAAAGAGGTGTGACGTAAGGAGAGGTGGCAGTGTGTTCTGGGAGCCCCGATGTAACTATTTCAGCGAAAGCACCTCGCCGCAGCTACAATTAATACTGCTGTTCAGAATAGCAGGGACGTGAAAAACAACCTGATAAAATGTCTCTGTAGCGTGTGCCTCTTGCCGAGAGTCCTACGTTAGACCTTCCTGGAGGGTGAGGAATAACAAAGAAACCACCACTGCTGGCGCCTGCTTCAGAGCTGTTTATTAGCATAATTATTCTCTTCTCTTAAAGATTTAATAACAACTGAAGTATATACAAAGTCTTACAGCATTTACACCATAGAAAGTTTCCCAGTAGGTGACGAAGTCCAAGGCGGTGCTACAGGGAACTTCACAAAGGCAAGGACTCAGGCCACCGCGTTGGGCCACCTCTGCCACCGCGCGGCGCCGTGGGCCCGCCGAGGGCGCGTTACTGGGGAAAAAAGAAGACAGGTGCCGGGCAGTGCCGGGGACCACAGGGTGCAAGAGCTCCAGAGGACGGTGTTCCTGCACTTTCCTAGCGGTGTACGAGTCACAGCTCGAGAGAGTAACATACGCAGGCCAACAGGATCACGCTGCTCAGAGGGTCAGCTCGCACGTGCGCTCCCCTGGAGCAGGTGGCTCCAGGCCGATACGGCTCGTATTTCTGCTTCCGTTCATGTCTTCACGCAGCTGAACCTGCGCCAGCCCCACCGCCTCCCCAATAACAGCACAGCAAAGGAAGAGAAACAGCACAAATTAGTAGTCCTTGACCGAAGCCGAGACAGTAAAACGAGAGGGACAAAAATAAAAACACCCAAGAAACACCTCTGGAAGAAAAATAAAAAGATGCTCAGTTTCAGCTTTTGGGGTCCACTTCTGCCCAAAGATTAATACTAGCAGAATTTCTGACTTACCCTAATCTGAACAACAGCACAACCCGCAACTACCCCGACTGCTAGGTTTAATCATCCTCTGTTGTATCTGATTGTCTTTCCCTGGACTCCGCATTACACAAAATCACCAGCAGCGAACTGGACACAAAACGCAGCGCTGTTGCGCCCGCGATCGCTCCATTACTGTCAGGAGAAACTGCAGCACGGAAAGAACAAGTGCTACCAGGCTGGCCCACCCTGCTCCCGCCCTCGGGCAGTCACTACCTGGAGCCAGCTCCCCCGCCCCGCCCTCACGCTCCCACAAGTGGGCAAAGTGGTTTCTTTTCAAGGTTCTGCTCTCAACTTGAAGGCCAGCTGACAAAACTTTTAATTAAGACACAATAGCGTGGGATATAAAAACACCAGAACCACATAAATATTGAAGAGACCGTATACCATCTTCCGTGTAAACAGTCGCGCTGAGGGGCAGAGCCCCCGTTCGCCTCCGGCCCGGGACAGGCGGCGGCGACGGGGAGCCAGGCCGGGCGCCGGCGGAGGGCGTGCAGCTGCAAGTGGGCACAGCACGGGGCCGCGGGGCGCGGAGCTCACGACGCCGCTCACACGTGCGACACCTTCTGCGACTCCCTGGCCTGCTTGATGCTGTACAGCCACTTGATGATCCTGGCGTTCCTCTCGATGGCGGAGATGCCGTAGGGCACCCGGTCGTTGGCGCTGTCGTCGTTGCGCAGGTCGCTGCTGCTGTCCCGAGACTGCTCGCAGTCCGAGCTGATCATGCTGGCGCTGCGGAAGTTGAGCGACACGATGTCGGAGCTGGCCCTGGCGAAGCTCTCCATGCCCAGGCTCTCCAGCTCCTCGGGGTCCAGGCCGCAGTAGTTGAAGAAGCGCTCCACGTCCGCGTCCACGCGGAAGTACCTGTCGCTCAAGTCCGACTTGGAGCGCTGCAGCGACGCGCGGCGGCCCACGGCGCAGGCGGGCTCGGCGGGCGCGGCCTCGG